CATTTTAATCAAAAGCGCCATGATATTAACTGTATGAAATTCATTTTAGTTGCTAGCGGGTTTAAAACCCTCAGTGAAAGGCGTTGTGCCGAGCTGAGATGGATACTTAAACTTAAAACACATAAGTCAGGTGCCACTAAAGACCTTGGATTCATATCTGACTTCACTTTCGCTAATAAATAAATATATATTTTTGTCCACCCGTCATATTTTCATCCATCTAGTCTATTTATATATTCACTTTATTTCTTCGTTTGATCTTCCCTTATTCATCATTTATATTTTTATATCATATATTATATATTTCATCATTCCTTTTTTGATAGATATGTGTCCACATGACATTTCATTTGACAGTATTATATTATTATCATCATCATATTTTTGTTGTTTATAGGCCTATTTCCTTGTTTACCATTCATTAGATTTGCCACTCTGACCAGTTATTTATGCCAATTTGCTTATGTCAGACTTAAGGCCTCCTTATAAACTATTGCTAGTGATAAGACTGTGTAACCTATTGTTTATAGATCTGGTGATTAATCACCCATAGTATAGTCTTATGTATTCTGTTAAGTTTCTCATTGATACTCATGCGCTGACGAAGGTAACAGGAGTTGCCGAAAATTTCGCTAATAAATATTTCTATGTCTCCTACAAGTCAAAGTATCGTAGCAGTTTATTTTGTCTGCGTCTACCTACTGATTTAAATGTTTAGAGATTGTTTTGATAACATACCCATAACTGTGACAGAAAAACTGCAACTGACAACATTGTTGAGGGAATCTACTGCAGTGTACGTTACGACCGTTGTGCCAACTGCGAACAATGCTCCTGAGTTATACGTAGACGACAAAGTAAATCCAGAAGACTCATCAATAGTTGGTTCGGTCCACGTGACAACGGTCACAGAAGATGACGAGGACGTTGTTACGATGTCAGTTTGGTCAAGTGGACAAGTCAAACTAATAAGATCTAAAGAAAATTGATGATTATATAATATTTAACTGCATCATACGCTACAAAGTGACTCTCGATGAACATGTCTAATTAAAAATTAAATAGCTACATGTTATCCACGGTTTATCCATTATAAAATGTCAATTTTACCAGTTACAAATCAAATTTGTATAATTAAGTTTTTAAGTAGAGTATCTCGCTAACCATTGCAATTACAATGTGTAAACGAATAGACGTATCATTATGCAAACCACATAACAGAATGTAAAACTGTACGTATTTCAATTCAACGACCATAGAAAATTAAATGCAGGTCTCCAAACCAAACTAAATAAATAAATAAATAAGAAGAATTTGGAAATTTTTTTAAAAATTTCAAATAGTTTTTGTGTGATTGTCCGCTTGCAGTAAAACAAAGGGCATGATGTACAGTAAGTTAGAGTACCTGTAACAAATATATTGAAGTTGCACATGGCTTGGTTTCCAGTATCATCCCTGAATATATATTCAATAGCCGTTGTCCCTTTGGTAAAAGAATCACCTGGAGCATAATTGCTTTCAGAGGTAAAGAATCCTGAGTTGTCTGTTGCTGTCGGTGTCGTCCATGACACGGTTACCGAATCTGCCCCACTCGGGAGGATAGCACTGATATCACCGCTACACCCATAGATAAACGGTGGTTCGGTATCCTCTTCACCTAATGTCATACAAACACATAACATTAATAACAGAAAGAGCAACAGCAACAAAAGATAGACTTACTATGTCTGTTTGAACAACAGAGCATAGGGCTTTTCCCCATTGCTTTAATAAAAAATGAAGTTGAAATTCCAACAAAAAGAAAAGTCGTTAAAAGGTAAAGAGTAAAAAAAAACAAAAACAAAAAAAACACGGAAAACCAATATAATTTTAATGATGAATGACCCTCAAATTTACACCCTAACCTGGATCGTCCTTACCAAAAGTTTCATTCGGATCAGTATAATCCGTTTTTGAAATATCTGGTCTGGGACGATTTCCTTTAAATGGTCCTCACATTCACACCCTACGCTGGATCATCACAAAAATTCAGTCATTTCTTTACTGGACCTTTACAATTATTATAGAAAGTTTCATTAACACCCATTGAAAACTTTTTATAGATATTTACGTCTGGGATCTCAAAAATGTAATGACCCTCCAGTTTACACCCTTGACTGGTTCGTCGCCAATACATAATACTATCTTCCTTGTAACTTGGTTAATCTTTTTGCGAATGTTTCGATCCGTTTTCGATATATTGTCTGGGACGTTTTCCTTTCAATGGACCTCAGGTCTACACCCTACTCCTGATTGTCACAAAAATGTAATCATTTCTTTACTCAACATTGACAAACTGTTATACAAGGTTTAAATTATACCTATTGATTTTTTTAAAGAGATGTTTAGGTCTGGGTCCTTAAAAATATGCAAGAAAAAAGAAAAAAAATTAACAAAAACAATCGCTTTTCTCTGTACTTTTCGGAATAGCCAATAACAGCATAAATGTTATATATAACAAAAGCAAGATAATAACTTCAACAATGACTGCAAAATAACAGTAACAAAAACAACAATGAGATTAAGAACAACAATAAAAATATAACATTAAAATAACAACAATACAATAACAACATTACAACAACAAATGAACAATAACATAAGTAATAACAATAACAATCAACATTAGACAACATTTATGCTAAAGACTTAATGCGTCGAAATAATGTTTAGGTAATGAGTTTTTTATAGGACTGTTAAATTTTTGGATTTTGCATGGTTTTTAACCATGGAAAGTTGGACTGACTACCGAGCTAAATGTCCTAAACAATTCCTTACTTTGTACAGTTATGGAAAACTGAGAAATGGCCGTGTTTCCAAACTGGTCAACAAATGTGTATGAAACCAATGAAGTGCCGAGTGAGAACACTGAGCCTGGTTGAAAGTTCGGACCAACTTGAGTCACAGCTCCCGATTCATCTGAAGCTGTTGGTTCATCCCAGGTGACGGATGTTGAGGTCACACCGAGGTCAACTGTTGCCACTATGTCATCAGGGGAATTTATGATGGTTGGTGGTGAATCATCAACTGATAAAAGAGCATTTTATTATATAAAACAAATTGCTACAAATTCTGGTACTGTATTCTTGTTGCCATTGAAAATTGGATATGGATAAAGCATCTGGTTACTTAATATAAATATAATACAACAGTACTATATGCATATATATTATATGTATAATTAATACATTTAGCATATACAAAATTATCGTTCGGTCTCTTACCAATAATTGTAATGGTAAACATATCCGTTGCCGTATTACCAGAGGAATCTGTAGCTGTATATATTACGACAGTCATTCCTTCAGTAAAGGATTGACCAGGCGTATATTGCGAAGCTAAGGTTGGAGAGCCAGCATTGTCTGTTGCAACTGGGATGTTCCACGTCACAACTACAGAAGAAGTTCCGGGAGCAACAATTCTTTCGATATTGGTTGGGAATGATGTAAATGTTGGAGTTTCTGAATCTGTTTCAACTACAACAATAACATTTTAATTTATAAATATGTAATAAATATTTTGCCTGTTTTGCTTATATATTTTTAATATTTCCTTGGTGAAATGCGATCAATGAAAACTCCAAATAATGTGATGCATGATCTAGCAATAGTACACAATTAAGTATTATGATTTAAAAGTGGGTAAAGGTAAGTATGTAAACTATGACGTGTAACATTTCTAATAATGTATCAAAAACTTACTCATTACGTTTACAGTGAAGGAACACGTGTCATGGTTTCCAGAAGAATCAATTGCAGTATATATCACCGCAGTAGAGCCAGCTTCAAATGTGTCACCTGGGTTGTGGCTAGGAACAACGACTGGGGTACCTGAGTTGTCAGAAGCAGTGGGTGGTGTCCATGTAACAGCAGTTGATGTTTCTCCCAATGACGCAGTAACAACTACGTCAGAAGGACATCCTGTTATCACCGGAGGGTCGATGTCGACAAATTCCTCTACAAACAACCATTCAATAATTATTGCTCTACAGTTATTAATTTATTATTACAGAACTGTTCATTAAGTAGGGGTAATTTTGTAGAAAAAGTCAATCAATATACATTTTAGATGACAATGTATTCAAGAAAAAAAAAAGAAATTTCAGGTGAACATCATAACCGCCAATGCTTTTCCAACCATACATCGCATAACATTTAGAATTATAAAAAACAATTACGTTACCATATAATTATATTATATACATATATATCTGTCTCTTATACACATCTAGATGTGTATAAGAGACAGCTATAACTATAACTGCGCTGACCTTCGCAAGGACGGATTCTTTAACGTTATGGTAAAAACTCCAACCCCCCACCCCTTTCTATCTTTACAATAACATTTTGTGCTACAATGACGTATACCCATTTTAAATGAGAAGAATGTGTTAAATGACACATCAGTGTACGTACAGTATATATCGATTGGTAGGTGAAAACTGATTAACATTTAAAACATTGAAATGGACAATGAAGGCCCAGAGTTTTTAGAATCGTGGCCTTTTGAGCAAGATCAGCAACCATGGTTACTATAAATTTGTATTTGGATTCGGCCTTCTTAACTCATTATATATATTTATGAATATCATATACCCGTGCTCCGCACGGTGTTGAATGAGTGGGACAAGAGGCGATCATGTACATTGTTGAATTAGGAGGCAATCGTTGTGGATGTTATGGTTACCATATGTCCTTATTTTTCTGAAGGACGTCTTTGTAGTTAATGTCTCCACCCCTTGACAAATGCATCCTCTGAAAGTGCCTAAAATTCTCAAATTCTTTGCGCGCATTTCTTGTTACGGTAGGCCAATTTCCTCTATAAATTGCACATTTTAGGGAGTTTTCATTAATTCCGACGAAATTAGAATTAAAAACACAAAAATATTTTGCGCACTTGGTGCGCGTTTTTTAGGTTTTTTTAAGTTTTATCCTTTTAAGTTATTTAAACACATAATAGTCCCAAACTCAAGAAAGACAAATTTAAGATAGATCATTTTCACCTAAAAGAAGGGCCTCAATGTGTATAGATGGTGAAAGGATATGTTTGTTATAAATAAAACCACGATGAAAATGCTTATATTTATTATTATTATGTTGTAATGATGTTGTTTGTACAGTTCTTTAATTTTATTAAAGAGGGCCCCTGAATATCAGTTAACCTACTGGGCTAAACTAGAAGGGTTTCCCTCTTTAAAGATGGTTGAAATAAAAAATAAAATTAATGAAATTAATAAATACCCACTCTGACCCAAGACCCCTGTTACGCGCCTGGTGTTAGCGCCAATGTGTGCCCTTGTGCGGACAGGGGATGTGACCCCCTCTGAAGCTGGAAACCTTGTTTTTGCAAAATAAATTGATGCAATTTACTATTATAGGCCTAATCAATAAATTTCTCATCAACCGATATAACATTGGAATTGACATAACATAACTGATGTCGTACACACTCTTCAGTGTGAAATGTGGCTCTCTTTGCAAGCACATCTAACATCTAAGGAAAGAAGAGCTTAGATTGGTAACAGATAAAATAATTTTGTTATCAACATTAATACATTACGCTAATTTTCATCTTTGTAATCGCATAAGACAGTGCAAATTATTTCTGTGACAGTCTTTTGAAGTGTGTAAAGCTCCATTTTATCCCATACATAGTCAAAATATTGGGGGGGATGATACAATGGACCATCCCCCCTTGTCAAATATTGGGGGATATATCCCCATCCCCCCGGGATCTACGCCTATGATTACGTATCTAATTTATATACTGTAGTACATACCGACTACTGTTACCGTAAAAGTGCAATTAGATTGAGCCTCATTTGAATTAACAGCATAATACGTCACAGTGTGAACTCCGACATCAAATGCAGTCCCTGATTGTACTGTTTGGGTGAGAGTGACGCCTGATTGGTCAATAACTACTGGGTCTGACCAAGTTACTATTGCTGTTGGTTGACCTGTATCAGTTGAAACTTGGATTGGTGTTGAACAATTCCGAAATATAGGAACAGATGTGTCTACAAAAAAATATCATAATGTAATGTAATACTTTTATAGAGAAGCTTATAGTAACATAAATAATAATAATAAAGATAACAATAATTTTGGCATAATAAATACATTTCATGTGTATAGCTTGTTCTACATCATTACACAGTTTTGCTAAGGTTAAAGCAATTCAACACTTATTTTCTTTCTGTTCTGTATTACGATGCACAACTATTGCAAATAATGTGCATATAACTGTAACACGAAGTAGATGAGATTAATAGTGAAGTTCAAATTCATTTTAGAAGTAGTAGTACACACCTATAACTGTTACACTAAACTGACACTGTGCTGAATTTCCACTGCCATCCGTAACCGTATACACCACTTCGGTAGTCCCATCTTCAAATGTGTCACCAGGAGAATGCGTTGACGTTATTGTAACGTCTCCCGAATTATCAAGAGCGGAAGGCGTTGCCCAGTTAACAACCGGAGATGCTGATTGGATATCTGATGAGCAGCCCTCTAGTAAAGGACCTTCCCTATCTGAGATAAAAAAAAAAAAAACATTAATTGTAAAAATATTGCCTCCACAATGAAAACATATCTACACCAAGTCTGTAGAAATTAAAGTTAAGTATACATAAAATATAGCAACTTGCGTGTGTCATGGGGAATGCATATTACCTACATTTTTTATCTTTGTGGTAATTGGGTGAAAGAATTTAAGGATCATGAGCACAATTTGACTACTCACTAGGTTGTCGTGATAGCTGCATGGGAATAATTTAATCTAATGACCAGTAGAACGTCTTTTGGCACTTTTATTTTTTTTTCACGTGAAACGTCTCTGAAGACTTCTATTTTCCAAACAGTGCTCTCAAATCTTGAAAATGTTTTAAGCATTATAAAGGCTGTTATTATATATCTACAGTTTTTGTATATTCACTTTTGCTGAATTTATGATTGAGAAAAAAATGTTGTATGTGTGTGTGAGGCATATATCAACACAAAAAGCATAAAAATTAATAATAGTTCATATCATTACCAACAACAGTAACAAAGAAACTGATCTGATCTGAGTTTCCATCCATATCGGTTGCTGTGTACACAACTTCCGTAGTACCAATCTGGAATACAGAGCCCGGTTGAATTGAAGCTGTAAGGGTGGGCTGAACTCCGGAATTATCAGTTGCAGTAGGAGATGACCACGACACAACAACACTGGAACTACCCGGATCGGAATCAACGCTGATGTCATTTGGTATACTGGACAACGTTGGAGACTCACAATCTGCAACAATTGAACATAGCTGATGGAGAATGTAGTGTTATAATAAAAACTGAACTATCAATAAGAAAAAATACAAAACATATTCACGGTAGCAATATATTATTAGTATATACTACTGTATACCATTAACGACTGCATAAAATGTACAGGTGGCGGTGTTCCCAGCTGCATCTGTGGCAGCGTAAACAATCTTATTCTCGCCTACTGGTAGTGATACGCCTGGTTGAAGATTACTAGTAACAACAACACTATTCAAGCTATCTTGTGCTGTTGGCTCTGTCCACGTGACTATGCCTGTGATTTCTCCTGTGTCTGTACATCTAGTGATGTTCTCATGACAATCATTAAATACAGGCAATCCGGTATCTGTAAAAGTATATTAAAACGAATAACTGTTTAAATAATAAAGGTAACCAAAAACATCCGCTCAAATGGGTCTCCATTAATATGGATTAAATTCATCAATATGCCGAAATAAGTCTTTAAACTGTAGAATTTTTTGCTTACCCAGTATTGTCACTGGAAACTGGCAAAGCGCAAAATTGCCAGAAAGATCAGTTGCATTGTAAATAACCGTTGTCGTTCCAGTACCGAATGAGTCACCTGGAACATAGTTTGAAGTCAATGACTTTATACCATGATTGTCATTAGCTACTGGCTCTGTCCATGTGACGTTGACACTTGTCCCAGAAGATATTTCAAGATCAATTGCAGACGGGCAGTTTGGGAATGACGGATATTCTTCATCTAACATGTAGATAATAGTTGTAATAGCATGAATGCATTAGATACATTGGTACATAGATATTCCTTACGAAAATCCCTTTACCTTAATGTGGATACGGAAACACAAATAGTGTGTTGATTTCCACAATAGACATTAATCATTTATTGATGCTAATGCAGATCTGAAATAAGGATGTGGATTGTACCAGCATGCAGCATATATAAAACAAATCATGAAATACAATTCAAACCAGGAAGCCTTAAAATGGTCAATAGTAGATAGAATTGTCATCAAACGATCATCATCAAATTTCAAACACTTACCAGTTACAGTTACACTGAAGGTTTCTACAACTATGTTGCCATCACCGTCAGCTGCGGTAACGACAACGTCGGTTGTTCCAATAGGGAACACAGATCCGGATAGTGGAGTTGTAGTAACAACAACTGACCCAGAATTGTCCTCAGCTGTCGGTGTTGACCACTGGACAACAGTCCCAGAGCTACCTTTATCTGCTGAAGCAGAAATAGCTGTCGGAATGGATGTGAACATCGGGTCTTGGTCATCTGTAAATTTAACAAAATGAAATACTTCACTATGAACAAAATACATTAAATTATCACATAACCGGCAACATGGTACCAGCAACTCTCGTCGTCCACCACAGGGGCTGTCTGTTCCAAGTACACCGGAATATCCCCCTAATAATGCTTGCTGTCTCCAATATATTGAATAATTTAACCAAAATTAGTTTTAATAATGGCAATAATTTAAAAATGTGAATTCAGCTCACCTGCAACAGAGACAGTGAACTGGTAAACGAAACTGTTACTTGCTTCGTCAGTGAACGTGTACGTTACAACTGTATCGCCAATCGGAAACTCTGCTGGTGATTCATGCGATTGAACGACTGCCACACTACCAGCGTTATCCGACGCAATTGGCGTTTCCCATTCAACAGTTGCTATATTTCCTCCTGGTTCAGCAACAGTATCGACATCGCCTGGTAAATTCTCTACTGTCGGTGCCTCCAAATCTATTCAAAATTCCGAAAACATTGAATTTGAATGCAAAGACACTAGAACTACATATTGTAAATAATAGTAAATCTATAAAGCCTTGCAATAACATTGTATTTATACTGTTAAGTGAAAAATGTTATTGCATGATATTAAAATCTTATAAAACATATTTCATTTCGTAAATTCAATTTACCTTGCACAAATACATAAAACGAACAAGTGGCGATGTTACCACTATTGTCTGTAGCAGTGTAAAGTACAGGAGTGATACCCAATGTAAAGTTTGAACCTGATGAACTAGACGACGTTACTGTAGGCGTGCCAGTATTGTCAGTTGCCTCTGGCTCGACCCATGTTGCAACAGCCGTTGACATGCCTTTGTCTGTTGGCACACTGATGCCATCGGGACACGTAATTTCGGGGGATTGTTCATCTGTGGAAGAAACAATTGTAATGGAAATCATATCAAAGAGATTTACATTGTATTGGAAAATAGCCATGATAATATTGTACTAGATGTCAAATTGAGTAAAAATGACATTTCCATATAATGTGCCTCATTGTGCGAATGATATTTATTTATTTTAAATTAATTTGGTATTTTTTATTTATTTGGTATTAAACACTCAAAAAACGCAACAAAGGTTGAAATGAGCGAATATATATATATATATATATATATATAAATATATATATATATATATATATAATTGCTTATTAAATTTGACACACGCTGATAAATATAAAGTTGACGGACGCTCAACCACCTACTTATGATCGGCAAGATGTTTTGATGTATCTAAAAGTATGACGTGATGTGGTGCGAATGCAAGTTCAATAAGCTGAATTATATGCTCACCAAGAATATCAACAACGAAAGAAATCGTATTAGAGTTTCCAGATGCATCTGTTGCTGTGTATGTTACCACTGTTTCACCAATAGGAAATGTTGTGTCTGGATCATGTGAACTACTGACATTGTAACTATCGGAATTATCCGATACCAGTGGCGCAGCCCAGGAAGCAGATGCACTCGTTTCACCTGTATCAAGAACTATTGTTACGTCATCTGGTATGTCTTGAAAAACTGGTGCCTCGTTATCTGATTGAAAATAAGTTTCACATACAAAATATTAAGTTTGACAAGAAAATAACAACAACATGTGGTTAATTAGATATTAACATTATGATAACATGTTTGATAATTAGTTTGATACAACTGATTGAATAAGTTTTAACTTATATATAGACAGTAGGTACCTTCAACTATAACATCAAATGATACACTTGCTATATTTCCGGCCGTGTCCTCTGCCGTATACGTGACAGTTGTAATCCCAATCGGAAATGAGGCACCAGGCTCATGCGATGAAGTCACAGTTAAATCTCCTGCGTTATCTGTGAAGCTAGGTGGAGTCCAGTAAACTGCACTGGAGGCACTTCCAGGATCCGTCGATGCCGTGGCATCACCTGTTGAACTGACAATTTCAGGCCCTTCGGTATCTGATAAGTGAAAACAATTAACGTGAACACTTACTTCATTATCGAACATAAAAATACAGAAAAATACTAATGCTATCTCTTAATAATAGTCAATAATTACAACAGATATACAACATAATAGGGTAATATCCTGACTTTGTGTTTTATTAGTGTAAAAAATTAAGAGATAAATATGAATTATTGGTATAAAGGTAATATTGTATTGACTTTTAGCATATATAGACGTATTTCGTATGTCCGAATATCACAGTAATTTAATATAGGTACACTTACCTACGACTACAACGGTAAAATGTTGTTTAAATGTGTTTCCAGAAGGATCAGTTGCATTGTACCAAACAACTGTCGTCCCGATCGGAAATGATGACGGTGAGGTTTTCGTTATCATCGTACTAACAGATCCAGAATTATCAGTAATTGTTGGGGTGATCCATGAATAGCTCGCCATAGAATCCCCAACATCTGTAGTTAATTCTACGTCATCAGGCATATTTGCTATAACCGGTGCCTCATTATCTAGGATAAGATCAATATTTTACAATAAAATTACTTTAAAATTAAACATATTAATATAACTAAAAGTAAAGCACAGACTTGTTTATGATACTGCTTGAAATTCTAAATACTAAAATACTCAATCTAAAATCAAATTTGTAGTAAATGTAGTGTTACTTGAACCATAATACTATTCATGTACCTGTAACCGTTATCACAAACGAAAATTGAATTTCGTTTCCTTCAGAGTCGACAGCTCTGTAAGTGACTGTGGTGTTTCCAATTTGAAATGTGCTTCCAGATGGTATGTCGACAGTCACAGTTGGATCTGTACCAGAGTTATCTGTTGCCTCAGCGTCATCCCATGTTACAACAGCTGTCGAAGAGCCCTCTGATGTATCTTGAGTCTGCGATTCCGGAGTAAATGAAAACACAGGAGCCTCGTCATCTACATACAGATAAATATACTTTCATTATAAACAACGATTCCATTTAATTTGATTATTTCTTGGCCGATAAAAACCAAATAAAATTGTATATTTAGTTAAGTCATAAATATTTGTAGAAACAAAATTAAAATTAAATATTTTGTTGAAAACAATTACCCGATATTTGTACTGAGAATGAACAAGTAGCAATGTTTGAGTCGGCATCCACGGCTGAATAAACAACTGAAGTAACCCCAATTGGAAACACAAATCCAGGTTGATGGCTCTGTGTTACAGTGGGGTCACCGGAGTTATCCGTAGCCTGCGGCTCCGTCCACGAGACAACTGCATCGTTCGAGCCAGTGTCCGTTGATTGTTGGATATTCAATGGGCACTCTATAAACACTGGATTTTCGGTATCTACATATATATAATATTACAATGTGTATATAAAGAAAAATCAAATCAAAATATTTAATTTAAATAAGAAAATAAAAAACAATAATGTACAGACCTATATTTAAGATGTTTCTCCCCAAAAAACAGAGTCTATATTAACAAAGTCGTAACTAATCTTACTAGATTAGATTTAATACGCAATAAGTCACTACATTTTGTTATAACATGTTACCGTACTGTGGATTTTTAAAAACACCACTAATTAAGATAAGTACTTTATCAAAATAAGATATAGACAAAAGAATAACATAAAACTGAATGTTATTATTTAAATATGATGAGAAGAGATGTTATACCAGTAGTATTTGAACTAAAGACTACGTCATATACAGGATATAAAAAAAAACATTACCTTCGACTTCCACAGTGAAAGTACAATGAGCGCTATTTCCGGCATCATCTACTGCCGTCACCGTTACTGTTGTAATGCCAATAGGAAAATCTTCTCCTGACGTATGCGTCGTAGTGGTTCCATTTACCGCTACGTTGTCTACCGCCATTGGATCTGGCAAGAGAACTGGTACTGTGCCGCTGCCAATCGGTACTGTTTGTACAATTGCCTCAGTTGGGCACGATTGAAACCATGGTGGTTGGACATCTAACATCATTTAAGCAAAATATGCACAATAAATATAAAACAAAATAAAAGCAATTAAAATATGGAATTTCTGTTTGTAAATAGATAATAGGCTATTTATTGGAATGAATTATAACCACAGGAATACTTTTATTCTCTATACATAGAGTAAAAGCATATATGTATCATGCAACACATTTTTGTGATACATGTTTTTCTATAATTGAAAATAATTTTGACAAATTTACCCGTTACAGTAACAGTAAACTCGCAGTTTACAAAGTTTCCTGTGATATCAGCTGCTGTATATGTCACTAAAGTCATGCCAACGTTGAACTCTGTACCTGGTGGTGTTGATGCAGTGAGGTATTCGATCTCATGGTTATCTACAGCAGTAGGTACATCCCATTCAATAACGGCCACACTACTTTCATCATCTGTAAATGTCGTTATATCACCGGGACAGTCATGAATTATTGGGTTTTGGTTGTCTACAAATGATCAGAAAACATTGACTAAAAATGTCTGAAGGTGTGCATGGTGAAGTAACAATTGGTAAACTCTTAATGTACACCACGTAGATAGTCATAAAAAAGTTTTGATTAATTTGCATAAATTGTCATCAGGTTCTCCTGATGACAACTGAATCATTCCCTAATAAACTCATTCTAAACGTCAAAGTTATTCAACAAAATTAAAATTTTTGTTTTCAGACTCATCTATGTGGTGTGCAGCAAGAATTTGTCTATTCAATTGAAATACTAAAAGGTCCTATTAAGTTGATAAACATTATAACAATGAGATGTACAATGAACATTTTTATACATTTATAAGTATACAGTATTGAACTTTATTCTTATGGTGTAATTATCTTCAACATAAGGTTAAAGTATGCTATTATCATGCAGTCCTACCAGTGACTGTAACTGCAAATGAATATGATTGCACATTGTTGGATCCGTCGGTGGCAGTGTACGTTACTGTTGTAGTACCAACTTCAAATACATCCCCACTTGAATGGTCTGAAGTCAGGGCAACGACACCAGAGTTATCAGTCGCCGTAGGAGTAGTCCACGTCGCAACAGCTGTGGCTGAATCAGTGTCTGATGTCAATATTTGGTCCTCTGGGAGATTTGACAGCTCTGGAGATTCGTTGTCTGTTTAGATTGAATAAAAGATATATAAATCCAAAGTTGTAACATTTTGTATAATTTGAGAACATGATCATACCTGCTGATATTGATATATGTACCTTATTTCTTGAATTATCATTGTATCAAAATATTGCATTACATCTTGTATTATCATTGCATCAAAATAAATATAAAAACAATGTAATTATTATTTACCCTCAATTGTAATAGTAAAACTCGAACTTGCTACATTTCCAGCCAAGTCCACCGCTGTATAGGTAACCGTGGTCGTTCCAATAGAAAACGATTCTCCGCTTGAGTGTGATACTGTAATGTTCATTACTCCAACGTTGTCAGTAATAGAAGGTGCACTCCAAATGACAGTAGTACTATCTGATCCCGGGTCGGCATTTGCCACGACATCACTTGGTGGATTAACAAACTCTGGAGGAGTTGTGTCGTGCTCTGAAAAAAATCAAACAACCAACGAGTAATACAATTGAAGCTTCTTGTCATTTATTCAGACTATGCTTTGATCATCAATGTATTATGTCTTTTAGTACGGCAATACTGCATATTCTCATACCATAAATGGTAATTGTAAATGATTCTTCAAGCGAATTGCCAGAGTCATCCGTTGCGGTGTACGTCACTGTTGTTTCGCCAATACCAAAGCTGTCTCCGGGAGAATGTGTTGATGTCACGGCTGTCGACCCTGAGTTGTCGGACGCTGTCGGGTTATCCCATGTAATGATAGTTGAGTCTTCATTGATTTCGGCGAAGTGTACAATGTCAGAAGGAATATTTGCTAGTACTGGTGGTTCATCATCTATGAGAAATGTCATAGCTCAAATAATTGAGACATTCATAACACTCTTTCTTGTAGAACAATCAACTATTTGTTTTAATATAATATATTACCTCGATGTCGTAAGTTTCGTAATATACAAAAAGGCAAACGATGCATGTTCCCTACCTTGTACAGTAACCTCGAACGTACATGTCTGAACATTTGGTGGTGATGCAGCGTCGACAGCTACATAACTAACGGCGACCGTTCCTATATCAAAGTTACCATAACCATCAGTTGAAGTTAGAGTTACCACTCCTGAGTTGTCTGTGGCTGTGGGTTCAGTCCAATCGACGTAGCCCGTATTGGAATTTGGAGATGTCTGAACAACTATATCACTTGGACAATCTGATACTGTCGGTGGTTCAATGTCTAAGATAATAAATAAGGGTTCAAGCGATAATTAAATCTGACATTTTTTGCTATAGAATTCCTCTTTTAAATGAAAAATCGTGTTATTGCAACTCACCCTGTACAATTATTGTAAAAGAGCATGTGTTTATGTTTTCCGAAGGGTCTGTCGCTGTATATGTTACCAAAACTCCACCAATTTCGAAAAATGATTCGGGTAAGTGCGTTGACACGAAAGACGAAACAACTCCAGAATTGTCAATTGGAGTAGGCACTGTCCATGTCACAACAGCTCCGGCATTTTCATTTTCATTATTCACTGTAATATTTTCCGGACACGTTCCGTCAAAATCAGGAGGGATGTTATCTACAATAGAGTAATAAAAACATAAAATGCGTTACAATAGATAACGATGTAGCTCAGAGGTAAATGCTTGAGCTTGACAATGCTCGAGTTTAAGAACTGTTAATGTCTTTCTTTAATTGAAATAAACATTATACCTAAATTAAAAATAAAGTATATATATTTACATTTATGTAATAACGACATGTAAGTCTTATATAGTGAATAATGAACATTAGTCACTGTATACAACTTTGTCCAATAACGAGTAATTCCACATGCTTACCCGATACTTCAACTGTTATCAGGCACTCGGCTGTGTTACTCGATGGGTCAGATGCCATGTAAGTAACTACTGTTGATCCAACAGAGAATGAATCTCCAGACTCATAGTCGGAATTGATTATTGCACTCCCTGAATTATCAGTTGCTGTAGGTTCAGTCCAAGTAGCGGTAGCCACATTTGAATCAGCGCTGATGTCAACCATAACATTTACAGGACAGTCTGATATGATTGGGTCCTCATTGTCTAGAATAAAATTTACATTTATTTTTATGTAACATTTGCACCTCTGAACATTAAACGTCACATTGAAGTTCTGAGTCATCAACAGCATTTAATATAAAGACATTTTGAGCTCCCAACTACTTTTAGTGCCATAATTGTAACTGGTTTCCATAAAAGTTGTCAAAACGCTTGCTACAATACACTAAGACATAATTTTTAACAGATAGTTTTAACACAACATGATTTCTGGCGTAAATTACCATTGACCATAATCATAAAAGTGCACGTGATAGAGTTTCCAGAGACATCTGTTGCAAGGTATGTTAATACATTTTCCCCGATTGGTAAAGCATCACCGGAACTGAATGAATGACCGTCCTCAACAACAGAGACTGCCATATCAGAATTATCGCTTGCACTAACAGTCCAAATCACAACAGCTGATGGCTGGTTACTGTCGGTGCTGGTGGTTATGTTGTTTGGACACATGGCAGTAGGCGCCTCTTCATCTATATAAAGGTATAGCCAGATTATAACAAAACGGTTTTGAGTGCACTTTTAATGTAGGGATAGTAAGATATAAATGGTTTTCCTCATTTACCAAAGCCGTTAGGTAATTTAATGAAATTTTAAGCCTACTGGTATGGGTATGTGTATAACGTGAAATCCTAAACAGTCAACATAGAAGGGTAGACGCAGGAAGTATTATGATATGCCGTGGATGGATTTGATTGAGTGTATAATTATACAAACTTGTCTGTGATTCTAGTTTTCTATATGGTAGGCGTCCAGTATGAAAAAGAACATGACGTAATAATATACAGTGATTTATTTAATTACAGTATCACAGGCAGCGGCGTATCTAGGATGGCACACTGAGGCGTACCCACCCCCCTTAAAAAATGATTATTGCACAATATTTACCAGTGATTGTAATATTAAATGAACATGTTGCAGAATTGCCATACGGATCTGAAGCGGTAATTGCGATGGTGTATGGTACGGCTGGAAATTGAAAATTGTATTCCATCTGGACACCTGTTGACGTTAACGAAACTGAATTACTGTTGTCAGTGGCTGTCGCTGATGGTACTATAACAGAAGCAAAGTTTTCACCAGCGTCCGTTGAGATGGTTGCGGGAAGTACCGGGCAGGATATCACGGGATCCTCGTTATCTATAAAATACAAAAAATGTATATAGTATGCATGTTTCTTTTTAATTGGTTACCACCATTATTACTTAAAAATTATAATGGATCGAATTTATAATTACATAATTGATGCTAATTTTCAAGTATTTTAATTGTGATTCCACACCAGTTAATATTTTTACCTGGATAAACCAACTATTGCCAGAAGTAGTTGCCAAAGCATTATTGTTTGTTTCTACACCGTTACTAACCAAACAGTGTGTATCTCACTCATAGAGTGCTAACCTCGCTGTGATTTGTGTAATTACCACAGACAATATACGAAACAGGTGTAATAAAGACTAATTTAAGCTGACGTATGATTTCCTTGAAAAAAATATTAAAACACAATTACCTTCAACAACGACAACAAACGCATATGTGTCCGAGTTACCAAAGGTGTCAGACGCTGTGTACACTATAGTTGTATTTCCAATAGGAAATATTGTATTCGGCGAATGGTTTGAAGTTAATGTAACATTCCCTGAGTTGTCTGTAGCCGTAGGTTCAGTCCATGAGATAGTAGTGTCTGGTTCACCTTGATCTGTTGAGCTGGTTATGTCTAGGGGGCCATTGTTGATCGTTGGAGGTTCATCATCAGTGATTGTAATCGTGAAGGTGTGAATGAACACATTATTGTTTACATCTGTAGCTGTATACGTTACTGTTGTGATACCAATATCAAATGTGCTTCCTGATGCAACATCTGTTTCAAGGTTGACCGTTGTATTGGAGTTGTCAATAGCCGTAGGTTCCATCCATGTAATGACTGCTGTAGAAATTCCGGGGTCAGTAGACATAGTTATGTCTTCTGATGCATCATTTATCTGTGGGGGCTCATCATCTGCAAAGTAATTCAATTTTTTAATTACTTTTAATACTTTTTCATAAACTATTCTTGTATATTCTAGAAGGTAAGGGCCCACACATAATGAAAATATATTATGCTTTATAAACTAAGTTTTATTACGAAGCTTCAAAATTGGAGATGTTTTTGGGTGGGTAGAAAATATTCTGTGCTGTCACAGGATTTGTACCTAGAACTCCGGAATTTGAAAGGGGAGCACCACAACCACCCAGCTACATATTCACAATAACCGTGCACCACTCTAAACTAAATAGGTATTGAAAAGTAATATAAGTAAAGTAAAGTATAAAGTAATTGCTGGGATCCATTCACTACATTATAATCATCAATACAACATAACATAACTGGTCAACCAGTGTCAGAATGTGGCTCTGAGTCCTTCTGCAACAGGTTGCTTTATTGTAGTACTCCATTTAACATCTAAAATAAAAAAAAATACATCGTACCAACAACTGCAATCACAAAAGAACACGACGCAGTATTTCCAGACGAATCACTTGCTTCATATGTTAGAGTAACATTTCCAATTGAGAATGTATCGCCTGAAACAGACGAATGACCAAAACTATTTATCGTGGCTGATCCTGAATTATCTGTTGCTGCAACTTCTGGCCACGTGACTGCTGTCGATGGTTGCCCAGGATCCGTCGATTGGCTGATGTCTTCTGGACATGTAATTATTGGTGGCTCATTATCTTTAAGTTTGAAACGTAAAATCAAGAATTATTATTTAATTCAAAAAACTTGTATGAAACTTTTTATAATAATAGTGTAAGTTTTTAAAAATTTGTTATGAATTCTTAAACATTGGCCGTATTCTACTGGTCGTTCTTCGTTAAACCACTCCCACCTGCGCAGTTGTAAAATCATACTTAACGAAGACGATTAGTCGAATAGAAAATTTTAAAATACTCGACAAAAGAAAATGGCATGTATAGTTACTGCGATACACGTTGCGTAATCAAGGTTGCTTCGGATTGTGGCCGTATGAGTTTTTTATTTTTTAAAATGTCATCCAGTTTTTGAATTCTGTTAGCCTACAATTATTTTATTTTTTGAATTCATGTGGGTAAATATTATAATTTTTATTTTCTGAAATTTAATCTAAGTTATAATAACGCAAATGTTGTTGCTAAAATGAACAAACGGCCATGTTTGTTTTGGTCACGTGGGTAACTTAATGCTGATTAACGCAGTCTGGTTTACGTTAATTTTCGTTGTCAACGAAGTCTATTTTACGAACCAGTCGAATGAACATATAATTAACGAAAAATCGTAGTCAACAAAATGAACTAGTCGAATACACCCAATGGCAAAGAAATCACAATACAATTATTTACAAATTTTCTGCACCTGTAGTGATATACTAATTAAAATAACTAAAGTTAACATGGAACGTGTCCTACCTATCACTTCAATGGTGAATGAACACACACTTTCCAGTAAAGCTGCATCAGTAGCTATGTACGTCACATTTGTAACACCAATATTGAACTCAGTACCTGGGCCGTTCGATTCCACAAAACTCTCAACACCTACATTATCGGTAGCAACAGGCGGAATCCAGGTAAAAGTGGATACTGACGCTCCTGGGTCGGTCTCAGTAGATTGGTCTGACGGACAGTTTATAATTATTGGTGGTTGGTTATCTATGTTGATAAAACCTGCTGGTTAGTACGTATGTCACGATTGGGTAACATTTTTTTAAATTACAAAAATAGTATACTATCTGATGACATTTCCCTAGTAAATCGCCGTGTAAAAAATGGATTATTCTCCATCATAGCCAAAGAGGCAGTTTTCTGCAGTTTGAAGATTGTACATCGTTCTTCTACATTCACAATTTTTTATGTTGTAAAGCAGAATCGACAAATGAAAAAATCTATGGATTGCAACGTAAAGCATATTGGTGATTAGAACTAGAAACATAAAGATTTTAATACTTAACCACAGTCCTTGAGCTATGTCATCAGCAGTTTCTAGAAATAATTCATATTAACATTAAGCTAAGAGTAAATAATTTATCTAAATGAAACAGTCTCACCATATATAGTTACGACAAAGGTACACACTCCTTCATTAGACGATGTGTCAAAAGAACGATATGTGATCGTAGTACCACCAATTAGAAATTGTGACCCTGGAGTGTGGCTTGCAGTAGTTAAAAGATGATCGACTCCAACGTTGTCACGAGCACTGGGAGGCGACCAGACAGACGTTCCAGTAGCGGAAGACGGATCAGTTGGGAGATCGGTATCGCTTGGACATCCCGCAAAATGTGGAGGTTCGTTATCTGATGGATGACATTAATTTACAATCTTAGATATATTCGAATAATGTGTGTCCTGCCACTTTATCAAATTAATAGTCTACGTAACTTTAATCTAAAATTTAAAAGCCATCGGAAACAACTGGAGTAATTTTCCTGTTCGTTTGAATTTACATATTGAATTGTTGGACACTAATCCAATAGGACACAGAAAACAATATCAATTGATGTGAGAGATTTATTCTTTTACCTTCAACATTTATTATAAACACACAGTCTATTGTGTTTCCGGACGTATCAGTTGCCGTGTAAATCACCTCTGTTGATTGGCCTGAAACGAACATAATTTGCTCCACAGGTGTATGTGTACTAATTAATGTGTCAACTGCAACATTGTCAGTTACCGATGGTGCTGTCCAGTTGACTAAAGCGTAATTTTCATCTGGTTCGGTGTCAATAGTAATATTGGATGGACATGTGTCTCCAAATGATGGCAGTTGATCGTCTGCAAACGAAATATGTAGGAAATATATTTGTTCAGAGGGTTTTGTTCTGATTCCTACCAATGAGATTTATTGGCTAATCCACGTAAGTATCTTACTCATACACTAATAACACAGCTGCTGATTTGTTAAGTTTAGCAGCCAATGTGCGTGCAAATACAAATTTGATACTAGTATTAAAAACGTCTGTGGAAGAGCGGTTGGTGGTGGGGTTCCTAATGAGATCGATGTTTGAAGCCTCCCTTTGCAGTGAAACTTGCAGCCTATGAAACAGTTCTGAGTAAGTGCAATTTTACTAATACAAACTTAAACGGAGGTTAATGGAACATCTTTAGAATGTCAAATACAATAAAATATTATAATGAAGCACTATAATAAACAATATAATTAAATACAGAGCATACAGATAATTCTTTATTATCTAAAAAAAATAAATTCAAAAAGTATCTAAAATAAATTCACATACCTAATATCTCGACTATGAAGCTGCAGTTACCGACATTACCAGAACCGTCAGAGGCAGTATAGATTACACTTGTTTCTCCAAAATTAAATTGCTCACCAGGTTCGTGAGACTGATCTTGTGATGCTATAATGTCGGAGTTATCTGTTACAGATGGTTCAGTCCACAACGCATGCGCTGTTGCTAATCCTTGTTCCGCGTTAATGGTAATATTAACTGGACAGTCACTCCATATTGGTGGTTCTGCATCTGTAAAATGATGAAATGGCCTAGATAATTTTTACCCACCATACAGAGGCCGTACCTAGGATTCAATAAAATGAGCACACTGTGATTTACGATGTGTATGTTTACATTTTGTACCCACTATAATGTCATGTAATAGTAATAGCTGGAGTCGGTCTATTAGTAATCCAGCCAGCATTTAGTAGTCAGTCAATCATTCAGTCAGTCAGTCAGTCCCTTGGGCTGTCTATGTGTCTGTCATTTTTAACCTATTTGCTGTGTTGTAAACAGTCGTTTGCCAGTGTTGGTCAGTCAGCCTGTCATTATGTCAGTCACTTGGGACTGTTTATAAAAATAATTATTGTTATTGATTGCTTCACAAATTTGTCTAATTAATACATAAGTGCTTTATATGAAGGGAGCTTATTCATTACTATATGACGCAGCGACAACAAAACACTTCTTATATTCATTGATGGATTTTGCTAGGATGCCTTTAATACTAACCGATTATAAGAATGGTGAAGTTACAGTAACCTATGTTTCCAGTTTCATCGACCACTTTGTACATGATTTCGTAGCCAGGCCCAATGAAGTAAGCATCTCCTGAAGTGTGTATTGACAAAGCAGTGATGACTGGATTTGGATCAACGTTATCGGTGACAGTCAGTTCATCCCACGTAATCACTTGCAGTTTAGTTCCAGGTAATGTATTCGCTTCCGTGTCATTAGGACAATTTGTAAATGATGGTGCCTGTTTATCTACATGAAAATAACGGAAATACAATAATAATAATAAAGATTTATAAAGCCCACATCTCCACCACTGGTGCTCAAGGCGCAGTGTCAAGTACACCACAAAATAAACAAAATCCATATTAATCCCCAGAAGAATTTCAAGCGGAATCCGTATACCAATTATCTCATCGAAGCAGTGTTGCTCCTCATATAAGTATGCGCAGATACTCAGAGGCAGTATCTTGAGCATCAGCACCTTCCACCCCAGGATAGGCCCAGGGCTCCACTACCGTGCACTGCAAAAGGAGCAACATTGCGTCGACAGAGAAAAGTGGTATCATGTTTTGTTTTGTTTTGTTTTTTGTTTGTAAATAATATAAATTCAACAAACATCAAGGTTCTCTATACGCCTAGGTGAAAATCCATATTTATTCCCAGCAGAATTTCGAGCAGAATCCGTATACCAATTATCCCATCGAGGCAGTGTTGCTATATAGAATTATAACAACCTCTTCGTAACAAAATTCTTCAACAAATGCCAACATTTAGCCGATTAATCTTAACTTAATGTGTGTTGCTCCCGTTGACAACGAACTAATCTCTCTTACTTGAATTTCCTATTTGATAACTACTAAAAGAAGGCAGCACAAAGAACAATAATATTAAAAACACGAAGGTTTACACTTACCTGTGACCTCTATATAGAATGTACAAGTAATGTTAACATTACCAGATGGATCAGTACCAGTGTACACCACGTCAGCGTTATCATAGAAGCGTGTGTATGGCTCGTGTGTGCTAGTGACATTGACAAGGCCAGAATTATCAATATACACAGGTTCAGTCCAGTTTACGATAACATAATCCATGTTATAGCCAATGGTTAAGTATTGATCATCTGGGCAAATATCATAAACAGGTGTTTCATTATCTAAAATGCAACAAATAATATAATTATTGTATTTAGAAACGGTTAGTTATTATTGTAAAACGACTTTTTTTTGTAAGAAATAAGTCTTTGAATGTATAAGAACTAGATCCTGATGGCATAAGAATTACCGTTAACAGTGATCGTAAATGAGCATATCCTGCTATTAAGTGAAGGATCCAATCCTTCATACGTAACGGTGATGGTGGTTGACAATCCATTGTCTAAGGTTGCTTGATAGGGAGATGTATGACTAGCAGTTACTGCGACTATTTCATCCGAATTATCTGTAAATGCTGGAACCATCCATATGGCTGTTGAATACCATTCACTTGGTTCTGTATCGAGCACCATGTCTGACGGACATGCGTCATATTCTGGATTTTCGACATCTACAAAACAGTAATACATTTTGTTCTAAGTGTAAACTAACAAAACATAAAATCACTCGCAACCTGAAGAAAATTGCTTGAGCTAGTGAAAATTTGTGTTGTTTCAAATAGATTTGTTAGTCTAAACAATGTACTACACATTTTGTTTGGTCCAAGAACGTTCTTGAATGGCAAAACTTAAATTATATAATCAAGCTGAAAACAATTTTAACATTTAGAATTAGAGGTATGTTAATAATTATAAAAACTAACAATTACCTGATACAGTTATATTAAATGTACATTGTTCAGTATTACCCGCCGGATCAACTGCGTCGTATGTAACAATTACTGTGTCAGTAAGACCGCCGTTCAGTTCAACTTGGATGCTTGGAGTATGAGATGCAGTTACATTAACCGTCTCATCTGAGTTGTCTGTAAAGCTGGGAATTATCCACGTCACGGTAGCAAAACTTTCTCCAGGATCAGTGTCAGGTGTAATGGATAATGGACAGGCGTCATACACTGGACTTTCAGCGTCTAAAATATGGTAATTGAATAATTACTACACCAATTACCATTTGTACGGCGGGCATACACTTAGAAAATGTAATTCACAAATGTCAACAATGTGTGGGTTAATATACACACCAGATACTGTAACGTCGAATGTACATTCGACTGAATTCCCTGCAACGTCTGTACCGACATACGACACAGTAGTCGTTGTTTGCAACCCGTTACTGAGGCTTACTTGAATGGGCGGAGTGTGAGTAGGAACCACTGCCGGTGTGAGCCCAGAATTGTCACTAAATGTAGGTTCTGTCCATGTAACTGTGGCGTAATTCAGTGATCCATCAGTGTCTTGTATAATATTTGAAGGGCAATTCACGAATGTTGGACTCTCAGTGTCTGAAATAAAATTGATGTAATATATGTATAATGTTTCAGTTGATAAGAATAAATGTAATTAACATATTCATATTATTTCTGTTAATACTCAGTTAAATTATTTAGAAAAATCAAAAGTATCAAGCGTACCTGATACTCTAAGGGTAAAAGTACATTGCTCTGTGTTTCCACTAGGGTCAGTTGCTTCATAAACAACTTCTTGAGTTGTTGGCATTCCACTTGATAGTGATACCGTTACTCCAGATGCATGGCTCTCAGTAACAGCTGGGGTTTCTCCAGAATTGTCAATGAATGTTGGTGTTGTCCAAATAAATACCTGATAGTCCTGTGCCGCTGCAGTAGACAGATTTTGACTTGCAGGACACCCACTAACAGTAGGGGATTCATTGTCTAAATACATTAATAATACATGAATAGTGAATTGAAACAATAGGATGAAATTTAGCAATACAACAATCATGAGAATATTACTCGGCATATGATGGAAAATGTATATAAAATACGCACCAGTAACGGTAATGGTAAACGTGCATGTATCGAAGTTCCCAGATGGATCAGTAAGAGTATATGTGATGCTCTCAGAAGCTTCAAGTCCAGCTGACACACTTAGCTGATATCCCGGCGATTGAGAGGATGCAGCTGTACTCAATCCAGAGTTGTCACTGTAAGTTGGCTCAGTCCATGTGGTTGTGGCATAAGCCTGACCAGCATCGGTATCAAAGTTAGCATTCGAAGGACAACCAGTTATAACTGGATTTTCAGTATCTTGAAGAGAGAAGAGTTATACAGATTGTAAGTTGTGATTATTTTACTAGTTTAAAATTCTGGTTGTCTTATTTAATGTCCTGCATTAAAATGTGTTTGTCAAAACCAAAATAACAACATCGAACATGTTTAACACAAAATAATTGAATAGAAACAATAGAAACATAAAGATATTAAAGTTGACACACTTAAACAAAGACGCTGTGTATCTTTTAAAGCGTTATTATTGTAAACAACTTGAGTAATGTAATAAATATAATACATTTACTAAGCACATTAGTGCTAAGAATGGCTTAACATTAAAAATGAAGTCAAATGTAAGAATAAATAAATCATTTACCAGCGACAGTTATGTTGAATGCACACTGAAGGGCATTACCAGCCGGATCAACTGCATCATATGTCACGGTCACTGTGTCTGTAAGACCGCTGTCCAACTCAACTTGGATGCTTGGAGTATGAGAAGCTGTAACATTAACCGTCTCATCCGAGTTATCGGTGAAGCTTGGAATTGTCCACGTCACGGTAGCAAAACTTTCTCCAGCCACTAAGCGCCTTAGTGCTAAGAACTGTCTCTTATACACATCTAGATGTGTATAAGAGACAGGGATGCAGCTGTACTCAATCCAGAGTTGTCACTGTAAGTTGGCTCAGTCCATGTGGTTGTGGCATACGCCTGACCAGCATCGGTATCAAAGTTAGCATTCGAAGGACAACCAGTTATAACTGGATTTTCAGTGTCTTGAAGAGAGAAAGAGTTAGACAGATTGTAAGTTGTGATTATTTTACTAGTTTAAAATTCTGGTTGTCGTATTTAATGTCCTGCATTAAAATGTGTTTGTCAAAACCAAAATAACAACATCAGACATGTTTAACACAAAATAATTTAATAGAAAAATAGAAACATAACGTTATTAAAGTTGACACACTTAAACAAAGACGCTGTGTATCTTTTAAAGCGTTATTTGTGTAAACAACTTGAGTAATGTATTAAATATCATACATTTACTAAGCGCCTTAGTGCTAAGAATGGCTTAACATTAAAAATAAAGTCAAATGTAAGAATAAATACATAATTTACCAGAGACAGTGATGTTGAATGCACATTGTAGGGCATTACCAGCCGGATCAACTGCATCATATGTCACGGTCACTGTGTCTGTAAGACCGCTGTCCAACTCAACTTGGATGCTTGGAGTATGAGAAGCTGTAACATTAACCGTCTCATCTGAGTTATCGATGAAGCTTGGAATTGTCCACGTGACGGTAGCAAAACTTTCTCCAGCATCTGTGTTCAGTGACATGGATAATGGACAGGCGTCATACACTGGGCTTTCAGAATCTAAATCACGTAAAGATAAAATCATTAAAAATAATTATTGAATTTTTTAAAACTTGTAGATAGTGAAGATAACTTACACTATATTGGCATTTGTTTAATGTGTGCCGTGTATACGTTCGTTTATACATTTATTGATTGATTTATTTTTCTAAAATAACCATAATATCGGTTCGTATTGTATTGACATTTGTTTAAATGTCTGTTTAAGAAACTTTGTAAAATCACTACAGTATATATTATTACCTCTAACAGTTATAGAAAAGGTACATGTCCCAATATTACCGCTTTTGTCCATCGCTGTATATGTATTCGAAATGGTATTTTCAAGACCAAAATTGAGAGGGAGCTGGTCGCCAGGGTTGTAGTCGGATACTACAGATATGACGCACTGATTGTCCGAATCAACTGGCACGGACCATGTCAAGGTTGCATAGTCCTCGCCTGCATCTGTGTTCACATCTTGATTTGATGGACAATTAGTGAATTTTGGAATTTCAGAGTCCACAACTGAAATGAAAAATTAAAGTTACTATATTTTTTTTACAAAAAATGTGTAATACTTACAATGTAAACACTATAGGAAGGTAAAAAAGGTAATTAGGTAGTCCCACATTCATTTTTGAACGAAAGTATATTGTTGTTTATTACTTAGGGTGATTATAGGCCAAACATAATAGTACATTACTGAACGACAATCGTATTGGAATAATTGTACTGTATAGATCGATATAAAAGTAAAGGATATTTTCTAAACTAGCTCCTAAACACTTTCGCTACGGTAGCATATGGAACTACCCTTATACAAATGTACAATAATGCTCGAATTTCTTTATACAGTGCACCCTCCAATTCGAGACCCCCTCAAATTTCGAGACCCCTCTAATTCGAGACTACTTATTCAAAGAACCAAGTAACAATCGTCAACCTTTTATCACAAGTCTAACCCTCTAGTTAAAGACCGAACCCGAGTCTACCCCTTTGTTTTCAGGTCCCATGGTCTCGAATTGGAAGGCGAACTGTATAGGCATGTGTACAAACAAATGGTTATGTTTTCAGTTTTATGAAATTATATTATACAATTAACTTCTTACACATTTCACACACAGCACCTATAGTAGAATCACAGTTTAGGTCATTCCAATTAGAGTTTGTTTCTTGATCAACACAATTTTCGCTAGTACCACCATTGGGTTCACCACTATTCCAAACTGTAGGGAAAATATTACACATACATTAGTATTTTGAACAACAGTTATAAAAAAAGAAAAAGTATATTGCATCAAAATTATATAACAAAATTATATTGTAGATAAAAAAACAAACATTTAATTTTCGCTAAATTGGTCACAAGTACAGTATGATTTAGGCCTATTCTGTTTATGTTGGGTAAATACAATAGTAGTACGCGCTATATAATTTAAATCATGCTGAACACATATATATTAACACATATAACAACACATATAATATTTGGAAATATTACAAATTATAATATACTTCATTACTTTACTTTTCTGCCTGTATAGGCCTAGCCAACCTGATATTCTGTCAATACACAATGTGTGATTGTTGTTTGTGCGGTCTTTTTCATGTGTCCATGTTTAATAATAGATAATTTTGGTCTGATTCATCACAATTTCCTTTCAGGTATGAAAATTCGGGATTTTCGTTTTTTAATTTGATGATAGCCTAATTTTTTAACAGCTGATTGACCATTTAAATGTGTTGATCGTACGCACGTATGGTGTCACCGTACGGGAACACTCAATTCTTGCTATAAACGTATTGCTACTGTAATACCTGTAAAATTGGAACACTCTCCATTATCCAGCCACTCAAAGGTACCCTCTGTATCTAGATCCGAGTATCCGATCCAGACTTGCGTTGATACTCCTAATGCATTTCGAATGAGGTTGTTCTCATCAGATGACGATATGACAGCCAACGTCGATTCAGGGTGGTAGTTTTGGCACGAACTGTTAGCCGCAGACCATGTTTCTTCCACCGAGTGATGAAAGTAACAGCTTCTTTGCCACAAAGTCCATGATTCCGGACACTTCACAACTGTATTTAAAGGTATACGTGCACATTTTGCCAAAATATATACTTGGATATATTTGGATATATATATATTTATATATTCAAATATACTTTATCCAAATATTTCATAACTAATCTCTTTATGCAATCTTATATATATGTCTCGAGTCTGTCTATCAAAAATGATTTATCCCAGTACTTGTATTGGTGAAGACAAAATTTTACCTTTTTCGCAGACTACAGGCAGGCTCGTACCGCAGTTGTTATCATTCCATGTGCCAACAGAGCCTATTTCCACACAGTCTTCATTGTTGCTGTTGTCCGGTTGACTTTGGCCAAAATCTACCAAAATAGACCAAGAAATAACTATTGTAGAAAACTTTTAGGAAATGTATATTGATCATCCTAGCCAGGAGGACTTGTTACAGCCTATAGTGCTTAAAACGATGCCATAACTACTAAGGTATGAATAATAATAATAATAATAATAATAATAATAATAATAATAATAATAATAATAATAGAAATGATTGATTATTGATGTTAATGATGATTGGGAGGCTACACGTACAATGTAATTGCATTCAATGGTGCGAGTTTATCACATTTCCAAGATTTAGTCGTTTACTTACTATTATAGTAGGAAATTTCAACAGTATTGGGCAACCATTCGAACGTTCCTTCAGAGGTTTCGTCTGAATATCCAATCCACGCAGATGACCAGCCTGGATAGAGCTCATCCATTCTTAGTTTTATATAATTGTTTTCAATAACGCCCCCTATAACCACCACATCTGCATCCTCCTCTGCTTGACATGCGATCCTTGATTCAGCGAATGATCGTGCAGTGTCGTCAAACTTGTAGCAGCTTCTTTCCCATAATTCCCAGCCGTCAGGACATTCTATATTTGAACAACATTAATAATAATAATAATAATAATAATAATAATAGTAATAAAATTAATAATGATGATGATAATAATAATGTATGTATGTATGCTGTCTCTTATACACATCTAGATGTGTATAAGAGACAGGTGTAGGGATTTAGTATTACTAATATACAGATTTACCAGGTGAAGTCTAGGAGAGTGGTAAAGATGCACGTATTATGTGATTATTCTTCAACTGTGTGGGGTTTGAATCCTCTCTTGTTCCTTCTTTAATTTTCTAATTGTAAATTACTTTAATTTTTTTTATTATTTGTGCATTTATAGAATACTGCTTTTTTCATATTTAATTATTATTTACATGCCATTTGTAGACCATAATTTTGAGTAATTGGCACAGCAGATTGTGAGATATGCGGCCAGAAAGTATTTAAAGTCTGTATCTTACTTCCGATCAGCACTAAATTTAAGGAGATACATGTAACATTGTCAATGTGTAAACATTTGAAGTAAATAGGGACTTCATTTTTTGGGTTATGCGCAAGAAAGAAAAACACACACACACCACAGACAGACAGACAGACAGGCAGACACACTCACCCACCCACACACACACAAGCACACCCACACAAACGCATGAGGTGAGGGTAATTAATATTGATTCAGAGTCAAACTGTTTCTTATTATAAGACAAAGTACCTACCCCGAATATGTATATTAAATGAACAGGTGTTCTGATTCCCGGCTCTATCAACAGCTGTATACACTACCGAAACATCTATGAATTCTGCACCACCTGTGTATACCTCATCACCAGGTGAGTAGTTCCCCTCAAAAGTGACGACACACTGGTTATCAGATGGTATTGGTGGTGTATATTCCAGATTGACGTAGTCGTACGCCAGATGTGTGTATTGCAATACATTGGATGGGCAAGTGGAATTAAAACTGGGATTTTCCTTATCCTCATCTAAAAAACCAACAATAAAAATATTATTAGCTAAAAGTATTGTTTTAACAAACGTGGTTGCAGGGGCGTCCTTCGCAATTATTTTTTGACAGCGTGAGTAAAGTCTTTTCAACTGACGCTGCCAGCCGATCATCACCTTTACATTTACTAAGTAAACTTTTTTTCAATGTTGTATCTTATCACCTCTCCATTTGAATAGATAAATTTCTTAAATTTTGTTTCTTATCACCTTTCCACAAGTAAAATTTTTCTATTAGTGTTTCTTTTTTCTTTCTCGATTTCATCTTTCCAAACTCTGAATCAATTTTAATATTTTATCTTGGGCTACATCCTGCTCAAATTGTACATTTTCTTTTTAAAATATTTTACAACCACTCATTTGTGTTATTTGTTATTTACTGTTAAACAGGCTCACACGTATTAAAATGCATTTATATCCCCGGATCCGTCACAATTTTACCTGAGATGCAGACATTTACAAAGGAGACATGACACAGTACAGAACGAAATATGTAATTTATTAATGACGAGGTAAAATATAAAAATGGTAAAATTGTACGTAGTGTGAATTTTGTGAAAAAAAAATGTAATGCAGAAGTAAATTAACGTCATATACAAAACTAATGTTATACATCTTAACAATGCAAACGTAATCATGACCTACAAACTACAAAGCTTTTAAACTCTAAAATTTGAAATAACCCTGGGTAGAAAATCAGGGTATCCAAGCCGGGAAGCACCCCCTCCCTTCTCCGCTTTGAATACAGCGGAAAGAATGGGGATGGAGGTTGGAAGATCCACAATTAATAAACTTTGCAACAAGGTAAAGCACGACTTGTTCGGTTAGTGTCAAGAATGAACGTGATCCTGTGATGGCCAAGATGATGCTACAAATGCGCACGACTGGCACTGCCCTCATGGGTAAAAATCAAAATGATCCGTCCGGGAATATAAAGGTATTTTTTTAGCGCAAGCTCTGAAAAATGGTTTGTTTTTTAGTTCCTTGCAATAATACATAGCGATAAAATATTGTAGCCTAATATCCTATGTGTTATTAAAAAAAAAAGGGGCCTGATCTCTCACTACCATCAAGGTATCAGTGGCTTTGTGTTTTACGCTATTATTCGGCATGCAATCAATTCTCAATTTATATTTATGCTCTGAATAAATCGATATACAAGAAATACTTACAAATCTCACAAATATAGTGTTTTTGTAGTGTACAAGCACCATCGTTCCAAACGCCATTCGAAGACAAGATCTCGGCGCAATCCTCATTTCCACCGGAGTCACTTGGCTCATTATTATTCCAATCTGAAATTAAGTTTAGTGCATGTATTCAATTATAAAAGTAAACACGAGTAATAAGTTGAAGTTGGGATTATTACAATGGTGACGAAAATAGTCAGCAATATGTACTGTATGTAACCCATTGTGACAAACTAAACCACGACTACTCTTTATATGAACACTTTTATTACTCTAAATGTATTCACTAAAACGAATACAAACAGTTGAAATTACTGAATATGATTATAATTGATGATGGATTATGATTGATGATGATGACGGTGATGATGATGATGATGATGCTGCTGATGATAATGATGATTTGTATGATCTGTCATTTATTTATATCACTAAAATTATCAAAACCTCTTACTTTCATAACTCGGACATTCGTCACCTTCTACCCATTCAAAAGTGCCCTCTGATGATATATCCGAATAGCCAATCCACGAACTTTCACTTAGTCCAAGCAGATTCAAAACCATCGAATTTTCTTCAGTGCTGGAGATCATAAGCAAGTTGGAAGTGGATTCGTCTGCTTCGCAAGCATTTTTTGCATCTTCCCATGTCTTCTGTGTATCGATATATTTGTAGCAGTTTCCTCGCCATAGAACCCAACCAGAAGGACAACGAACCACTATAAATAAAAATAGGCACTATCAGATTATCACTTTAAAAAACGAAACAACCCTCCATTCTCATTTTTCATTGACAACTTATTTTTATACTTAATTATTAGATTATTGGAATTCATGAACTTGTAAATAAATTTTTCCTATTTCAATGTATATATTCTTGTTAATCAAATTAAATAACTATAAGTAGTAATTTTTATCTTTTAAAATTAGTAATAATGAAATGAATTTTCCCCGCTTGTTTATCTCTAGTTATTGTATGTTTTTTTTTGTTGTTGTGCAGACGGAATTGTTTTCAATTGAATGTATCACCTGGATACTGAATATCATGTATGTATGTATGTATGTGACGATGAATAAAGAATCTATCTATTAATCGTATCCTTCATAACTGCTACGGTATACAGAACATTGCCTGATGTATTTTTATGGAGACCGCTGGACAGGTACACGGGTAAAACACCAAATTATCTTTCGCAATTCAATTTCAAAGGACACTAAATTTTCATTGACAAAAAGTAAAACCTGGCAAACTGATTCCGAGATTCGTCAAACCAATTGGTGTCTCAAGGAATTTGGAGAAAGGAGGGACAACAAGCCTGACACAGGGTCCGGACCAATGGGCCATCTAGGGCTTATCGCAATCATGGTCACAAGAAGAATAAAAACACTGATAATGGGGAGAGATTTTACGGTTGAGAATGGTAAAAATTGTACAACAATATTAGGAAAAAAATGATAAAAGGAGGGAATTGGTTCCGGATTGTCCTATGGAGAAACTTCCTTTGACTACCCAATGCGCAGCCACTGGACAAGCAATCTCGATTGCAGCCAATTGATGATGTTAATGGTCATGATGACGATGATGACGTCAAAGACATACATTTACCTAAATTAGCATTTCTTCCTGTATACAAAATCGTTAACTTGTTTATTACTTTTGTCTATCGTGTTCTGGCGATAACAATTTATGAACACATATCAAATTTAACAATCAAGATATATAACACCATCAAAAAAAGTAAAACAAACCTTTCTCACAGACTGCGGCTCTATTTGCTGAACAGTCCTGATCATTCCAATTCTCGTTTGTTAAAAGTTCAACACAATCCTCTATGGAATTATAATTATCTGGATTTCCAGAATTCCAATCTAAATATAAACAGTAAATATATAGCAAACACAAAATTTGTATGCTTATGGTTAATCTATAGTTTTACAATTAGTTTTGTTAACATAAAATGTTAACAACTAAAATCTCAGTAGTTCTGATGTTATGACGATTTTCTATATATCACCTTCATAATAATTCCCAAATGACTTAGAATCAGAGTAAAGCCGAGACAGATGCCGCGGGTAATACCCAGTGGTATTTTTGTTTGAAATGTTATCGATTACTATCTTCTAAGCAGTGGCGTATCTAGAAGTCGTGAAATGGGGGGGGGGGCATATGAAGGTGAAGTGGGGCGGGCTCGATGATTAGTTGAGGGGCGCTAATTCGCAAAATATGCTGATTTTAGGTGATTTTTAACTACTTGACAGTGATTTTTTTTAAAGTTTATGATGACAAATGAATGACAATTTATAAAGGGTTGTACCCTATCTGATTCCGCAGATTTTCCGTACTTAAAAATATAACAAAAAAAAAAAAAAAAAAAAAAGAGAACGCTCACTTGTATATTCGGATACTTCTTCGAATAATCGATTAACCCAGACAAAAGTCCCTTCCACATCAATGTCATCATACCCAATCCATGCACCACTGCTCCATGATACTCCTTCATTATTTAATTGATCAACTATCCATGTGTTTTCTTCTGCACCTGCAATAGTTGCCAGCTCAGCGTTTTCATCCTCCGTTCGGCATGCTTCGGCAGCGTCTGCGTAATTGTACGATGAACTTAAGAACAAGAAACAGCTCCGTTCATAGTAAATCCATCCATCAGGACAAACTAAATTAAAACGAAAATGAAAAAAAAAAACAAAAAAAAAAAAACAAATACGGCGATGCGAAAACTACACAGACACTTGTTTCTATTATATCTATGACGTCCTAATAAATAGTATGCTAAACATCACGTGTGAGTGTCAAATTGATGTAGTCTAGTTTTTATTGCTATTTTCTAGACTTAAGCCAACATTGTCGAAAAGGTAAAATAGCACATACATTGGATTGCCTTTCGAAATTTTCGCCATTTATTACATCATCATCAGGAATTTCTGATCCTGATGATGACATAAGTAATGTCGAAATATTGAAGTTATTGTACTACAAGCTAGACCATACCCAGTGCTTTATGTGCTATATAAATCCAACTATATACATTACATTACATAAGATAAACATAAGAGTAGGAAAGTGTGTGATATCCTCTCACCTGCGAACATAGGAGTGGATACAGAGGACCATACCGTGCAGTAGATCACAGAAAAGAGAAATCGCGAATAAATTACATTCTTTACGTTTAAATAAAGTAATACATAATTATTATTACAGTAGAGTATCGGTATAAGGTTCTATATAAATCCAACTATATACATTACATTACATAAGATAAACATAAGAGTAGGAAAGTGTGTGATATCCTCTCACCTGCGAACATAGGAGTGGATACAGAGGACCATACCGTGCAGTAGATCACAGAAGAGAGAAATCGCGAATAAATTACATTCTTTACGTTTAAATAAAGTAATACATAATTATTTTAATGGTACCAATATCACACCTGATATGATTGACACTACAAAGGAGCAAGTTGCTTGGTTGCCGGAAATATCTGTGGCTGTGTAGGTAACAGTAGTGTCTTCCTTTGTGTTCGTTGATGAAGTACTGAAGATTGCACTTGAGTTATAATTCGCCGAAACAGTATCGATACACTCGTCGTCAGTTGCAGTTGGCTCTACCCAAGTGACTTCTATCGATAGACTCCCGTCATCCGTGACAAGACTCTGGTCAGAGGGGCAAGAGGAGCCAAATGACGGGATGGAGTTGTCCTCAACTGAAACGTACACAATCAATATATTAAACATAATGCGATGCAGAGGTAAGTATTTACAAGATACAGACTATGCCTGATATTCTGTACTTACATATCTCGCATACATATCTTCTTGAGTCGGTACAGGGCAAATCATTCCATTTTTCAGATGATGCTTCAAATTCCACACAATCTTCATTACCAGAGTTGTCTGGCTGGTTTTCATTGAAATCTAAAAAATGCACCGGTAAGTTAGTATCTATCAGAGTTATGTATTTCATTAGCCAGCGTCTTTAGTAAGTGTATGACTGTTTTGTGATTAGGACTACAATCGACGTTCCTATAACACAAAGGTGAATTTCAAAGCCCTTTCCAACTACATAAAAGTTCAGGCAAGGTCCATGTAGGCCTACTTTTTATTATATGGCTCTTAAAGACTAGAATTACTTAAAGAATAGAATTACTAATAATCGCTTTATTTGTAAAAGTTAGTGAAGATCGCATTCCCTGTTAAATATCTGATCAAAATATACATTTTTTACAGAAAAAAAAAGAAAACCCGCGATAATAATAATAAACACCAAAGGTTATTGATTTTTTATTTTAAAATATTGGTCTGCTATAAACCGACTGTTATACTTTTTACAAATATGATAATTAGGCCAACTTTATCTTAATTCATGTATATTAATATAGTGTAAATTTACAGTTAAAAGTATTGACATAGTGGAGTGTGGATGTATAATTTTACGTACTTGAATAATTTGAACATTTTCCAGAAGGAACCCAGTTAAAAGAAGCCTCTATTGACGAGTCACTGTAACCAATCCATGCGTTGTTCAATATACCTATTTCCTCGCCGACGATCCTGTTTTCGTCTTCCGATGCAATAGTAACCAAATAACCACTTGTATGTAAATCGTTACAAGCCGTTTCGGCGGTACTCCACGTAACAAGTGTGTCGACGTATTGATAGCAGTGCCCAAGCCAAAACACCCAGCCATCAGGACAGCCGATAACTTAGTAAAGAACGCAAAGTTAAATATTCAAACATGGTGCTACAGTGATTGACGTGATAGACGAATCACTGTAACCAATCCATGTGTTGTTCAATACACAAGCAAGGCAACCAGTGAGTTGTATTCATATTAGCGTAAAATCTTTATTAATTCATTTTTTAATAATATTTTTGATCTTAAGGCGAATATTTTTATAATGATATTGTAAACTCCGATTGTTTGCAGTCTTGTACGGTTTTTAAAGTCTATTTAAACTTAAACTGAAAAAATGAAAAATAAATAAAATAATTATATATATGCCCCACTCACCCTTTTCACAAATAGCTATCGGTGAAGTGGCCGAACAATCCAAATCATTCCATGTGCCAGATGGAAAAATTTCAGTGCAGTCTTCGGAATTATAATCGTCAGGTTGATTTACTCCCCAGTCTATATCAAATAAAAACATGGAGCAAAACTATAATTCATGTGCCTAATTGTACCAGCGGTATCTTCAGATTCATCTTGAAAATTTACAGAATTACAAATTCAGATAAATCTGGTCAAAATCCCAACTCCTACTATGTCCTAGGACAAACAACGAAGAAAGTATATATAATATTTTGAGCTGGATTTAGTGTTGTCTAGTGAAAAATGTGTATTAATCCAATACTACTTTATATCTATAATAGAGCTATAAATAGATAGTAACGTTTATGATGATAATGGTAATAAAATTCGTTTTATGAATATCAATAATATATTAATGAGATAAGTATTTAAGCGAGTACAGTATCGTTTTTTGCACTTTTTGAGGGGCGCTTATTCATTTCATTTCATTTATTTTGTCCAAAACACAATAAAATTGACAAACACAAGATAACAGAGAGCAAAAAACAACACTCAGTTGGCCGGACAGGATTGCCAAAAAAAGTGAACTGAATCAATAAAATTTAAATTAAACGGTTTTCAACAGATGTTAATCGTGTGATAACAAGAAGTTGTGTGTATGGATATCACGCGAGAGACACACCCTTGTCATTCTGCGTTGGATTGCTTCAAGAGAATATGACCTCTTTGGTAGGCAGATACCAAGCAAGTACACCATATTCAATTATTGGACAGACCATAATCCGTTGTACAATTTGGATATATATGGATCACGGTAGCAGACTAGTCTGAGAATAAAGCCAAGTATACTAGAGGCTTTGGAATTAGGGTTTGAAACGTGCAAACCCCATTCAGGTTTTGATGTAAAAATTACACCAAGATATTTATGACTGGTTACGTTTGTAAGGTATGAAAGTATAATACATACTCCAAGTATTGAAATACACGCCATCGTGTTGGGATTCAATATTTCGACATTAATTATGTCATCATCAGTCATCATCATCATTCCTGATGATGACATACTTAATGTCGAAATATTGAATCCCAACACGATGGCGTGTATTTCAATACTTGGAGTATGTATTATACTTTCTTATCTGAGATTAATTAGTGGACCTTTCGGTTTTTGTAAGGTATGTTTGTCCAATTCGATATGCATGTGGAGAGTTAGCAAGTCTATTTGACCTGGTGATTCTCATTGTTTTGCATTTAGTGGAGTTAAGTTCCATTTTGTTCATCAGGCTCCAGTAATAAATAATATCCAGGTCTTGCTGGAGTATTCCATTATCATTGGTGTATTTTTAAATATTTAACAGTGTCATCTGCATATAATTGGTAAATATTGGGAGGAACAACCTCTGGTAGGTGAAGAACAGATAAATTAAATAAAGTAGAACCTAAGACAGAGCCCTGGGGCACGCCTGAAAGAACAGGACATGACCGAGATGATTCGCCTCTAAAAACTACATTTTGAGACCTGTTGCTTAGATAGGACATAAACCAGCGTAATACAGAACCACAGCTGAGGGCATAGTTGTACATTTTCTTTAACATTATAGAGTGACTAATCCTGTCAAAAGCTTTACTCCAATCTAGAAAGATAACGTCAATGGGAGGAGGATTACGCTCATCTAGCACTTTTGCCCACTCGTAATGTGCAGTGGCTAACAAGGTGGTGCAAGATCTACCTTTTACAGATTTTAGAGAGAGGAAGAGTGCCAATGTGATTCCTAAAATAATTACTTAAAGTTTCAAGAATAAAATTGGAGGTTAAAAAGGATTCAGCAGTAAAATTCGACGAAAAGTAATATTAAAATCATTGGCAATAACAATAGGATCGTCAACAGAGCATTCATTAATATTAAAAGCTTTTGCCACAGGCTTGGCTCTTTTCTTGCGAAAAAAACCCTCAGAAAGCTTTACCATTATCAGAGCATCGTTTGGCTAGTTCAGAAATATATTTATGGTAAGATTTCCGTGTTTCAGATTTAAGTTTGTTACGACATCCTTTGTAGGCATACAAACTATATAAGTTGTCTTTAGTTTTCGCTGCCTTCTATAATCTGTTTTTTTCCCCGGATAATCTTAAAGCCCCATTCCCGGCAAGATTTCAGTTAAGAAAAATCTTATTTTTATATATGTTATAAACGTTTATAAATGTAATACGAAATTGCTAATTTAACTGAAATTAGACATTCCTAAACATGAAAAAATGTAAAATAAGACTGAAATTTGATTTTTTGTGTGTGTTCTGACCGAGATTTTGACAATTAAACAAACATATCTCAGGCCTACTTGATCGAGCGCAGTGGTAAACTTTATTGACTGTATAAAGTATACATAAAAGCGAGAGCATCCTAGCGGATGCGATCTACAACCTCTGAATTTGCCTAGGAACGAAGAATTCGAGAAAATGGTAATCTTCTATGAGAAATAGTCTGTATTTCTCTGTTTTTTAATTCTTTTGCGTAAAACTTAAATTTATGCCAATATTTTTCCATTATTTATAATAAATAGAGTAATGCATATGAATTTTTTCTATAAAAAAAAATCTTTTTTAGTGAAATTTTGCCGGGAATGGGTCTTTAAGCATTTCTGAATTAATACATGGCTGTTAATTGCTTTATTTTTTGCTCTCCTAGTGGGAACGATGTAAATCGCATCAAGAAATGTTTCTTTAAAATGCTTCCATGAGGCATCAACGTTGTTGGGAACAAAACATTCATCCCAGTTAAGATTAGAAAAAGTGTTGATAAAATCAACAGTAGAACTTTGTGAATATTGGATGAAATGTCCAGGAGGAAGAGAACTAATACAGTAAGAACAGTTGAGTACAACTGAAAAACCATCATGGTCACTACCTGGTATTCCAGGGTATGGTGAAATATATTTTACAATATTGATTTCATATGTATAAAGATGATCAATTATCGTTCCAACACTTGTAAGGTCATTGGAACGTCTAGTCACAAAAGAGATCATTTGCGTTTAGTTCAAAGTATCTATTACACATTTTAGTTGATTAAATGATTGTTAGATACATTGCACTTACAAGGAATATTAAAATCACCTGCTAAAATAATAGATTTATACATATGAATATCTTAAAATTTTATCCAAATATTTCTGAAGTTTATCAAAGAAAGAATTGTTGGCGCTTGCAGGCCGATACAAGCAACCAATAAGGAGTTTTCCATGTTTGGTATGCACAACAGTCCAAAGAAGTTCAAGACCATCAACTTGGAATTGTTTTGCAGATAATGGACGAAGTTCGTGTTTGGCTGCAATTACCACCCGATCTTTTCGAAACACTGTGTAATCATCTGGAAAAAGCTCGGAACCCATGCCATGTTTCTGTGATGAGGAGGAGAGATGGTTCTTCAGTAGAAACCACGATTTCTAGATGGTCCCGTTTATTAACTATGCTTCGAGCATTCTAATAGTGTACTTTAGCCATAATGCTACGAAAAGGTGTTGGTCCAGAAATGGAATGGATGTGTCCAAATGCGGATGAAAACTTTAAGTTATGAGGAACATAATTTTGGTATGACAACATAATTAAAAATGTAACAGTACTAGCAACAAGATTGAACATTTGCATATAAGTGTACAAACGTTTGTCGGTACTTGGTTACGGCTTCGAGTGTAAACAAAACGAGTGATCAGTGATCAAAAGATTCCCGCTAAACGACGTGGCGGTAAATATACTTACATCACGATGCAATGTTCTATATATTGAAAAATACCAAAAAGAATGACAATGTCAATGTACACCACAGCATGCCCATGTGTGAAAAACAGGTCCAGAAAAATCTGGATAAAAGTCTTGTAGGCCAAGGTGAATTCACCAAGGGCATGTAGACCGGTGAAACGGGGCTCCGATTGGCGGGCGATTTGAATTTTTTTTTCGTCGTTCGCCTGCATGAGCAGGCCTAGCAAGATTGATAAGATTAAAATCGATACAAATGTTTAAATTCCTTGATATATGCATTAAAAACTGAATCTACATCCATCCAAATTTCCAATAGATAGGCCAAAATCTGCATTAAAATTAACACAGAAACGATGTTGCTTGTTGTAATATGTTATTTACAGGATAGTTCCCACACACGACTTCGAGTGCTCATCAAACGGGGCATTTATAAAAACAGATTGAAAATTGAGGGGTTCTTATGGGAACTTGGAAAATTCAAGGGGCGCTTTCTGAATGAAAAAATATTATATAAGCACATATGGAAATCGAAGATAAACGAATAGTTCTGGTGCAGAAAAGATAATCGTTCAGAGAGCATGGCTCATGACAAGAATGCTGTGAGTAAATATGTACACAGCAGTGGCGTAACGATGGGGCTGGGTCCCTGTGGATTTCTGAGACTGGGGCATTTTTTTTTGTCCCGGTTGACCATTCCATTGTGGGATTTTAGATTTGCTCGTTTTTAATCATGCTTATCATTGTATTTTTAATGTTTTTAACGACGAAATAAATGATATGATATTAGTGGCGGATGCCTCTTCGGGGCCCCTACGGGTCTGGGGCCCTGCGGACCGCCGCACGAGAGCGCATAGGCGTTACGCCACTGGTACACAGCAGATGAAGGTGGTGGTGGTAAGCTTGTTGGCCATCTGCCGAATGAGATTAGCAGTATCATTGCAGGGTTTCTTACAAGCTCAGATGAGAACGTGCTAAAGATACAAATTGTGAGGAAAAGAAAAATAGAAGTAGGAATAGACAACTGTAAGAAGAGGAAAGTTTGAAAGATACTGTTAAGGGAGCTCCCATTTTTCCAGGAGAAATACCATCATTTTGAAATTGACATAAAAAGAAAATGTGAATCCACTCCGCAGCTCAAATCATGCCAACCACAGTTCCAGGATTGATTGTATTATTGACTTGCTAAAAAAAATCACATGATCTTGTTAAGGGGCGTTCATTCAACTTAGGAGGGGCGATTATTCAAACGGGGCACTTAAGAACATTTTCACGCTTCGAGAGGGGCGCTTATTCGCGCGAATGTGGTAACTTACTTTCATACAAGGAACCTTCACGTGCCGTTTGCTCTGCCCACTCAAATTGTCCTTCGGAAGAGATATCATCATAGCCAATCCATGCTGCTCCCCACCCTAGTCTATCCGTAGTCAACTTTGTCAGTATCCATGAATTTTCCTCCTGATTAGAAATGACTGCAAGGTCTCCTCCAGCTTCGCTTTGACAAGTAGTGCGTGCATCGGCGAAGCTGCCAGTGGTCGTATGAACCCAGTAGCAGCTGGAAAATTCGGCGTTGTATTCCCATCCTATCGGACAATCTATTTAATACGTATTTAATGTGATAGATATAATACGAAAAAATCACAATAAATATAACCACTTGAAACTAAGATAGGCCTAGGCCTATATGCGCATATAGTATTTTACATTATGCACTATATAAGGTGACAATTATTATTATTATTATTATTATTATTATCATTATTATTATTATTATTATTATTATTATTATTATTATTATTATTATTATTATTATTATTATTATTATTATTATTATTA